CATCACACACTGTGGAGGAAACATGCCTACCAGGGGCATGTGAGTACAAAGTAAACAAACATAACATAATAATAATAATACCAAACAAATAGTAAACAAGAAGAAAGCAGTCTTCTGGGATTTGGCACCGTGTATATGTGGTGCTAACCGACGTTTCGGAGGAACGTATCTCCTCCATCTTCAGGGTAGAAGGAAAAAATATAAGAAATCCGCAAGCGAAGAGACCATGAGAACCGGTAAAAGCAGACTGGGAAAGATGATGGAATGGGTGAATTGAAAATTGTGTATAAGGAGTCTTACAATTTGGACTCTTGTATCTAATATTATTAGAATGATGTCAGAACATGTAACAAAAGTTTTGAAAGACAGAAATGCCTACAGAGATTTGTTTTGTCAACCTCAAGGATGTGTATCACTTTGGATGCATAGAAGAGAATAAAATAGGAATAGTAGGACTCAGACTGTATACATGGGAGAGGAATATTAAAATGTATCTTAGAGTAAGTCTTTTTACAGAAAGTTTGATACTTTATTATTTTTTTATGAACTGTAATGCATAATACAAAAAGTTACATACTGGAAAAGAATAAGGCTGTATGTAGACTAATATATAGATAATTTATGCATATGCAATTCTATGTCTTTACAGGAATATATGTTGTGAGATACTGAACCATAAGTTTATTTGCCACTACATGGAAAAGTTGGGAAGCACTGATTGGTTAATCATTTAAAGCACAATGGTTATTATACGTATGTACCTACTCATTTACAAACACTTAAGAGTTTCCACACACAGTGTATTTAAGTGTTTTGTATGATTCTCAGAATAAAAAGTGATTATGTCTGTACATGGCACTAATCAGTTTTTCTTTATAATGTAGACACCATGTGTTTTTGAGAAGTAGGAACTGAATATTTATGTATTATCCAAATGAAATTTGTGCTACAAAGGGTTCATATGCAGTAAACTGTCATACCTACTTTTCTTCATTGAAACTGGAAGAGTAATAACTTACCAATAATATTCTCCTCTTCAACATTTTCCTGTAGGTCTTACCAAATACTTGTTTATTTCAGGTAACAAGAGTTTTTATGGAGATTAGTTTCTACCAGTTCACTGTCCAGGTAGAAAAGGAACAATATTATGCACACATGGCAGGGCTGAGTTCCAAGTTGAGGGCAGACTTTGGTTTTGCTGGTTACAGTAGGGATTCTTTGATATTGATTAAGGCTGTGTAATGTTCTTAAAAATAATAATGTAAATGATTTATTTGGAATAAAACATTTTGCTGTCTTTCACTGTTATTGAAAAGAATGCTAGTAAATCTATTATAACAATGACTCCCTTATTGTCTATATTACACTAAATACTTACAAAATATAAAGTCTGAATCTATTCCCTAATTATTCCATAATTATCAGTACAAACACACAATTTTACTCAGTTAGTATGGGCAAAGAGAAGAGAGAAAATGGTTGCCTTTTGTCATATGGAATGTGTGAACACTCTACACATTTTTAGACCTGGCTGCACAGACTGCACAGTGAATATGCTTGAGCCCATTAACTGAGATTCTAAGGTGTGTATGGCCTATAACAGGGTTTCGGTTATGGTGCATCACCTCATCTCCCTTCCACATTACAGCTGCAACCACTTCCTTGCTACTTGCCATACTTCTCATGCACAACCCAGTGATCTTGTCAAAAAACACAGATTGTATTTATTTTTGATTAAAATTATCCTGCAATTTGTGGATGAACCTCAGACATTTGGCTGTGCATTTCAGTGTTCTAATCATGCAGTCTGTGGTATGACAGTAGAGTTGTGAAAAACAGTGAAAGCAGTGCTGCTATTAGGAATGGGTAACCATTAAGGACTGAATGCAAGACTGTCTTATTTTAAAATGTCCACATATGTCTCATTGGTCAGTTCTGATATGCATTCTCGTGGTTAGAATATTTTCAATATGAAAGGCAATTCAATTTAAAAAAAAAAAGAGCACAAGTGTGATAGTTAAATAGTATATAGTCCATAACCACTTTCTATATGATCAAAGTCAGATTCACGGGGTAAAAACCTGAACAGTATAACTGAAGGCAACTGAACCTTGCCAAAGACCCTTTCAGTTATATGACAAGCTGAGTACTGGAAGGTGAAATTCGTTCAATCGTTCTTAGCTGGTCAAAGGTAGAGGAAACTATTTGTCATCCTGCGTTTTTATATGAAAAAATAGTTTCTTTTTTGTCATTAGTTAACATTGATGCCCACTCCCCTGGCACGAGATTTACGTGGATAAAAAATTGTGTGACAGTTTTGCTAGTTTTGAGAGACAATATGTAATTAAACTGTGGAATGAATGAACTGTAATTGCATTCTCTGACTTTAATGAACTATTGAACCAGTGATCGAAGTATTTAATAAAATGAATCTCTAATTATTTTTCAGGTAAAAATAATTTTAATATGTTCATTATAATCATCACTATTACTCTCGTCCTCCACTGTTAGCCCTCCCCCCATCAATGCAATCCTGACACATGTTTCCGTCTCTCCAGGAATTCCAATTGGAGCCTGAGATAACAGAATCCTCATTTAATATGGTGAAGAGGAAATAACGGTGTTTAGGTGTGAAGGAGAAGGCACATTGCGACAAAAGTTTTATACCTCAGTTAGTAGTATGATAAACTGGAGGACTGAAATTTGAATTTTGGCACTGATATGATGATTTTTCTCTCAATAAGAATGAATGAATGAATGAATGAAGAATATCCAGAGTGATTCTGGCACTCACCCAGCATCTTATCTGAGTGCCAGTAAGGCAAGAGAGGTTTCCCTGGGGAAAAAAAAAAGCACAGACTGACCACTAATCACCACTTAATGGTGAAGCTGATTAAGAATGCATGGGGTATACTTGTTATAGATATGTGTACAATAGGCAGTGATTGTACAGAACCAGGATAACTAAGTCAGTATAATGACTAGGCTATGTGCTGGTTGAACAGGGTTTTATTTCCAGCAGGAGAATGGATTTTTCTCTTTGTCAGCATATCCAGAATGCTCTGGGGGCTGCCCAGCATCCTATCCAGTTGTCACTAGGGTACATTCCCCGTGGGTAAAGTGGTCAGATCTGAAGCTGGTACTTCCAGCCAGTGCTGACATTAAGAATGCATGAAAATGTGCATCTCTTCTCACGTACAGCTTTATAGTGCAGTGGTTAATTAAGCACAGGAACAAATGTACCTAAACTCATGTCCTGTTTTTGTAGCTCAGTGATTTTCAAGTGCAGACATCAATTATTTTCATGAAGGACTACAAAAATATTACAGATAATCTAATTAATATGAGATTTCAGATTTTGATTGCAGGAAAAATTTAGATTGTGGTCATCTAGATTATAGTACTATATAGCCTAGTAAGGGATTACAGCTGTTCTGACAAAGCTTGCTGCCTCCATCTTCAGAATAAAAGTGGGTTATATTCTGTACCCAACTGTAAGATGACATGGTGTCATACTGCGAAGACTGCAACCTAAACATAATTCATGATGCTATAATGTTGCAATGCCGATCTCAGTAGCCGGGCGGTCTAAGGCATGCACTGTCTTCGCTCACTTGGAAGCTGGGATCGTGGATTCGAATCCCACTCAGGGCATGGATGTTTGTGTGCGTTTTATCTGTGTTTGTATACAGGTAGAGGCCTTGCGACGAGCTGATCACTCGCCCAAGGAGTCCTACCGTATGTGTAAGATCTAGAAAAACCGAAGTGAACGGAGAAGTTCATGGAGGTAGGCCTAGGCCCACTGGGCCTGTAGTGCCAAGGGGAAAAAAAGGATAATGTTGCAATCCAGTGCTGTAGTTTTTTTTTCCCTGTATGCCTTGAATAAACATAGTAGCTAAAACATCTCTTTTAAATATCCAATGATTAAAGCTACTTGTATATTTTAGAATATCAGTCAAGTATTATTAAAGCTGATTACGGCCACTGAAAAAATTGTGGTTCACGTATGTGACAGATGTTCACTTAACTACTAGTGCAGTAACATCTATGATACACAACATGCAGTGCAGTAGTATAAAGTTATTTTAGAATACAGTGTATAAAAGATTTGTCAGGACACTTGTCCTGTAAGCTTATTATCTTACTGGGAAGTGTCAAGCAGAATGCCAATTATGAAGAACTTAATTCAGGAGTTCTCAACCAGTGGACCATATGCAACCCACTGATGATTTTGTGTACCTGATGTATTATTTTGTAATATTGCATCATTCAGATTATGAAACTGAAAATTAAATATTTAATTGTAAGTGAATAACTGATAAAAATAACTAACTCCTTTGAGCAGTGTCGTTCTTGAAAAGCTAGCAGTTGCTCAGTTATTCAGCCTTATACAGAACTGAAAGGTCCACTACCATGTACATAAGAGCCTCACACTGGTCCCTATCTTGACAAATCAACCGATTTGTATATGATAATTATTGAGTAATGTTTGAACTTTTGTGTTGTATGTATATTTTTGGGAAATTGTAATGAAGTGTCAGTAAATTAAATAACCTGACAATTCATGAAGTGAAAAGAAAGGGTGAATGTTGTCCTTTGTCTTAAAAGGTTAAGATCTCCTGCTTTAAGTGAACAGATTAATTTGGAATATTTAGTCTTTCAGTGCTGGCAGAACTTGCAGATGTTCTATGATACATAGGACACTATAGCTCTGGACTGCTGAATTACGAAACTTGTGTTTCCTATTATAAGCTGACTGCTGATATGGAACATGCTAGTGCATGGTTTATGCAGTGAAGCACATTTATGACACAACTTCATTTTCTGAGTGACATGGTGGTGTAAAAACCAAAAGCTATAAAAAAAACTTAAAAAAAGGATAAATCCATCCCTGTAACAGATCATGGACACTCAGCTCACAGATGGTGGTGAGGTGGATAGCCTTACGCACCAGCCACCCTTTACCCGCAAAGACTCTTAAAAGATTAAGGAAAGAAAACTTGTAATTTACATTAATTTATTGAATCTTAACATCATCAGACACTGTGGAAGCAGATATAATGACATGAACATTAGTTGTCCATATTTTAACATATTTTACATTGAAATGTTGCAAACTTAAGTAATCATACTTTTAAAATTAAGCTGTTAAATAACAAACAAGTGCATTGTATCAAAACAAAACCCTAAAGATTAGACATAAAATTAAATATGAATGGTGAGTAAAAACAAAAGTGCTATTAGAAGCCATGACTGAACGAATTCCAAAGTCTTGTGTTCATAAACATAACTTGTTTTTCTTATTTATTTCTACAAAAGTTTTTATTTCGGAGTTTCCAACTGAATATAATTTGCAGGTATTTTCTTGTGTGACAAGTCAAAACCAATGGGAATGTGGTAAAATGTAATTTGAAATTGTCTGTGTAATTATTACACCCTTTCAAGCAGTAAAATATGTGTGTAAAAATTCTTCATGCTATGATGAGGAATATATTTACCTATATATATATGTCACTCAAGCTGCCACACACATGCATATATATACACACTAAAAATGATCTTGACATATGTATAACTTCAAAAGCGTCTTAATATTTCCTTCCAAAACCACTTTAGTTCTGTTATTAAAATAACGGCTTTCACCATTCTGTGATTAAAAATTTGCTATATATGTAATACATTAATCTGAAGCTGTAACATCTCAGTATTGTATAAATTTGGAGGCATTTATAAAACACAAAACAAGGGATTGTAGGCTTGCTATCACAGATTTACTGCTGGTTGTTAAGGTTGAAGATATGTGTATATGAAGGACCATTCACCAGTGTTTACAAAATCTGGGACCATGGATTTAATTTCATGGCATATTTGCAGATGTATTATATAGTATTATAATGTGACTGTATTAGGCAGTTATATATAATGCAAGAGTATTATGATTCAATGTAAATTATTATATATTCTGTAGTTCAAGCTGTATTAAAAAAAGAAATTAATCTGTGTAAGAATGGACTGGAAGCCATATAATTTATGAAAATAGTAAAGGAAAATTAAGTGCATTTTCTCTAGAAATCATATATCATCAACCGAAAAATTATCAGAGAGCTAGAGTATATAGAGTACAATACATAATGATGTGAGACTGTGTATGATAGCATACAAGAATTATGCATGAGAATGTCATATATATCTGTGTAATGATTTCACAGTCTAGTTTGAAACAACTGGCAGGTAAAACCGATGTTTCTGTGTGTCTCTTGTGTGTTTAAATGGAGGCTCTTTTGTTTCAAGTAAGGTGGCAGGACAAGGTCCTGTAACCTTAGGGACAAATTCTTTTTTGTAGGAGGAAGCTGTATGGGAGGAGGAAGCAGAGTGATCTCCAAGCATTATATGGGAAGTGTTGGCATGTCGAGTTTGAGTAACACGCTCTGTTGTGCCAGTACTGGTGTGGAAATTACCATATGCCCTTGCTTCACTCTGTCCATGGAATGCTCCATCTCCAACAAACAGATTATCCTTTCTCGTGTTTCTCTCTGAGCGTGTATGTTGCTGCAGTTGCTGAATGGATGAAGAGGACCATGCCGAGCTTCTCTGAACAGCTCCCTGACGACTTTGTTGCTCAGATGAGGATAGGGTGGTGGAAACATCATGACCACTTCTCTGCTGGTGAAGTACTTCTCCAGGGGACACACCCTGCCTGTGAAGGGCACTTAAACTTCTCCTGTCCTGGCTCTGTGAAGAGTTGCTGATATACTGACCCAGTTCACAGAGGTTGGAAATGCTTTTCCTCTGAGCTGATGCAGCTGAGGAGATAGTATGCAGAGCTTCTGTTGAGGTTGTTGTGCTCTTTCGATGGAGAATTGCATTACTAGCATCAGTAGAGGAAGAAGTTATAACACTTCTCCTGTGATGACTACCTGATTTAATGCCAACGTCACTGACGGTACTGTGAATGCTGTTGTCAGAAGAGCCACTGATGGCTTGTTTAAATTCACTGCTGTTGGCATGGGTTTTGCAATGTTTCCTTTCAAAAGTGGAGGATTGGATGTTTGTGGATTGGCATTTTGATTCAGCTGATGTGTGTAGTTCAGCTGAATGAGATTTTTTATCAGAAATATTAGCTGTTGACAGGTGGACTGATTTAGAGGAATCAGAAATGTCATTTTGTTTTGATAACATTTCAGGTTTCTTAGCTTCATATTGTATGGTACTAGATGAAGATTGTGTACCCAAGGTACCACTGATAGCCTGGGTAATGCTTTGTTGCTGAAAGGATTTAGTGCCAGTTGCCTTGGCCTCCTGTCCTATGACTTCCTTCGTCACTGTCACGGTAGTTCCATCAGCCTCTGTTCTTGTTTCTTTTGTGGAGACGGCAGACCTCTTGGTATTTTGATTCTGTTTATGGGTCTTGTCTTCATGTGCTGACTTATTTGATGCATCATATAATGTCTTATTGGTCACTGCCACGTAAACATGATCATCTCCAAGAGTTATCTGTGACTGCATATGCTGTTTTCTGTTGGCAGTTCCAGTACACCTACCTGCTGCAGGTACAGAATCTTTTCTCTTTGGTTGGAAAGTATCTTTGCTAGTAGTTTTCATGTCCATAGTTCCACTTCCCACAGTCAGTGTATCGGTGTGTTTCTTAATTTCTGCTCTTTCTCCCTTCACCTCTTTGAATTGTGTCTTTTGTAATGATACCCCTTGGAAGTCACCACCAATTTTTAGATTATCTTGAGGTTTTTTGATGTTTACTTTGTCGCCTCTTCCTGGTTTAAAGTCTTCCTTAAATCTGGGGCTTCCATGAAATTCACCCTCAACTTTTAGATTATCTGGATGTTTCTTTATTCCATGCCTCTCTCCTTTGCCTGGCCGGTAGTCATCTCGAGATCGTGACCCCTCAAACTCTCCCTCAATTTTTAGATTGTCAGGATGTCTCTTAATTGGCAACCTCTCGCCTTTTCCAGTATGGTTATAATCATCCCGTGAACGACTGTCTGTGAAGTCACCTTCAATCTTCAGATTGTCCTCGTATTTTTTTATTTCTAATTTTTCGCCTCTAATGGCATTATAATCATTTCTAGATCTATGTATCTCTATTTCACCTTCAATTCTCAGGTTATCTTGGTACCTCTTGACTTCTACTCGTTCACCTGTAACTGATTTATAGTCATCTTTTGAACTGGGAGTCCCACTGAAGCTTCCTTCTACCTTCAGGTTATCAGGGTGCTTCTTCACTTCAGCTCTCTCCCCTCGCATTACTTTAAAATCATCTCGAGACCTTCTGCCTTCAAATTTGCCTTCTATCTTCAGATTGTCATTATGTTTCTTCACCTCCATTCTTTCACCTTTTATTGCACTATAGTCATCTCTGCTTCTTGTGTCCTGAAAAGTGCCTTCAGGCTTCAAATTATCTTCATGTTTCTTTACCTCGACTCTTTCTCCCCTTACAACAGTATAATCATCTCGGGATCTTTTGTCATCAAATGTTCCTTCAACTTTCAAATTATCACGGTATTTTTTAACTTCGCTGCGTTCACCTTTCACATATTTGAAGGCTTCCCTTGATATAGGACTTGCCTCAAACTCCCCTTCAGTTTTAAGGTTATCTGGGTGTTTCACAATTTGTGATCGGTCACCCTTCACAGGCTTGAAATCGTCACGTGTTCTGTACCCTTCAAATGTTCCTTCAGGCTTCAGATTATCACTCTGTTTCTTCATCTTTGGTCTTACACCGTGAATGGGTTTGAAATCATCTCGAGGGCGATGATCACTAAATTCACCGTCTATCTTAAGGTTGTCTGCTGGTTTAATGGGTGTTTGTTTGTCTGCTGTCTTTGGCTGGAAATCCTCTCTGGATGTGGGACCACCAAATTCTCCTTCAGGTTTGAGATTATCAGAATGTTTAACAATGTCAGCACGTTCCCCTGGTCCAGGCTTTACTTTACTAGGCCTCTCAAAATCACCTTCCAATTTTAAATTGTCTGCATGCCTCACCTGCTCCAGCCTTTCTCCTTTGCAAGGTGTGAAATCATCCCTACTTCTGTACCCTCCAAATTCTCCTTCAGGTTTTAAATTATCTGGATGCTTGACAATATTAGCACGATCACTAGGACCAGGTGCCTCCTTTAACGGTCTCTCAAAGTAACCTTCTAATTTCAAATTGTCTGGGTGTTTGATGGGTGAAGGCCTTTCTCCTTTCCCAGGTGTAAAATCATCCCGAGTTCTTGGGCCACCAAAACCTCCCTCTGGTTTTAGGTTGTCTGGATGTCTTACTATATCAGGACGATCAGCAAACCCTGGCTTCTTATGTACTGGTCTATCAAAGTCGCCTTCTAATTTCAAGTTATCAGGCTGTTTAATAGGTGATGGCCTTTCACCTTTCTGGGGAGTCATATCTTCACGTGACCTTGGGCCTCCAAAGTCACCTTCTGGTTTCAGATTGTCAGGATATTTTTTGATTTCAGCCCGTTCCCCTACAACTGGCTTCTTGTCTTCTGGCCTTATGAACTCGCCTTCCATTTTCAAATTGTCTGGATGTTTTACAGGTGTTAGCCTTTCTCCTTTCCTTGGTTGAAAATCATCACTTGTACGTGAGCCTACGAACCTACCTTCCGGTTTGAGATTATCAGGATATTTCTTGATATCAGGACGCTCAAACTTGACTGGTTTGTAATCGTCTCTGGCTTTATGATCGACAAATTCCCCTTCAACCCGCAGATTGTCTTCGTGTTTCTTTATGTCTACTTTTTCTGTTTTCACAGCACAGTAGTCATCGCGAGATCGATGTACCTCCCATTCTCCTTCCATTCTGAGACTGTCTTCATGTTTCGAGATCTCAGCTCGTTCTCCTTGAACGGGCTTGAAATCTTCTTTAGAAAGTGGGCTACCTTCAAAATTTCCTTCAATTTTGAGATTGTCTGCGTGTTTCTTTGGTTGCACCAGTTCAATAGGCACAGTTTTGTAATCATCCCTAGTTCTCGTTCCACCAAACTCGGCATCAGCAAGTTTCAGGTTATCTTCATACTTGAATGCCTCTGTTCGTTCCCCTCTTACAAACTTATAATCATCTCGGGACCGATGTTCTACAAATTCTCCCCCCACTTTCAAGTTGTCTTTGTGAACTGTAACTTCTGCTCTTTCTCCTTTCAATCCTGTAAAATCATCTCGTGTCCTTTGCACACGGAATTCTCCTTCCAATTTAAGAGTATCTTCATGCTTAATTATTTGCATTCTCTCTGCCATAGTGGTGACATATTCGTCTCTGGACCGAGCATCAATAAACTCTCCTTCAAGTTTTAAATTGTCCGGATGTTTCTTCATTTCCGGTCGTTCTCCTTGAACTGGCTTATAGTCATCACGTGTCCTGGGTCCACCAAATTCACCCTCTAGTTTCAAATTATCGTCATATTTCTTCACTTCAGAACGTTCACAAGCACATATTTTATAATCATCTCTCGTCCTCAAGTCAAGGAATTCACCTTCCATTCTAAGATTATCTTCGTATCTCTTGATTTCAACTCTGTCTGTATTGCCTGTACTGTAATCATCTCTTGACCGATAAATTTCTATATTTCCTTCCAGTTTTATATTGTCCAAGTGTTTCGTTATCTCGGCACGTTCACCTTTAACGAGTTTGAAATCATCACTTGTTCTGCTGTCGATAAAATCTCCTTCAGATATCAAATTATCCACGTGTTTTATAACAGGCATTCGCTCACCACTCACATGCAAGAAATCATCTCGACTTCTGTGAGCATCGAATTCACCCTCCTGTCTCAAATTGTCTTTTGGCTTTTTGACATCTGCACGATCACCTCTTGTGGGCTGGAAGTCCTCTTTTGATTTCGGCGTTCCCTCAAACTGTCCTTCTTGTCGAAGGTTGTCCCTAGGTTTCTTGACATCCGCACGATCACCACGTGTCGGTTTGAAATCGTCCCTAGTCCTTGGGGTTCCCTCAAATTGTCCTTCCGGCTTGAGGTTATCCTGAGGTCTCTTAACATCTGCCCTGTCACCTCTGGTAGGTTGATAATCATCTCTTGATCTTGGAGTTCCTTCAAATTGCCCTTCAGTTTGAAGATTGTCAATGGGCTTCCTAATATCGGCACGGTCGCCTCTCGTAGGAATGTAGTCATCCCTTGATCTTGGCGTTCCTTCGAATTCTCCTTCCAGCTTCAAGTTATCTATAGGTTTCTTGATGTCAGCTCTTTCTGCCGGTCCTACCTTTTGGGGCTGGGGTCGATCAAAATCCCCTTCCAATCTGAGGTTGTCTGGGTGCTTAATGATTTCAGCTCGATCCCCAGGGCCATATTCCTGAGGCTGAGGCCTTTCGAATTCTCCCTCAGTTTTCAAATTGTCTTTTGGTTTTTTGATATCTGCACGATCACCTCTTGTGGGCTGGAAGTCATCTTTTGATTTCGGCGTTCCCTCAAACTGTCCTTCTTGTCGAAGGTTGTCCCTAGGTTTCTTGACATCAGCACGATCACCACGTGTCGGTTTGAAATCGTCCCTAGTCCTTGGGGTTCCCTCAAATTGTCCTTCCGGCTTGAGGTTATCCTGAGGTCTCTTAACATCTGCCCTGTCACCTCTGGTAGGTTGATAATCATCTCTTGATCTTGGAGTTCCTTCAAATTGCCCTTCAGTTTGAAGATTGTCAATGGGTTTCCTAATGTCGGCACGGTCGCCTCTTGTAGGAATGTAATCATCCCTTGATCTTGGCGTTCCTTCGAATTCTCCTTCCAGCTTC